TGTTGAAAAGGCATAATGGCACTAGGAAAACACTATAAAGGAGACAATTAAAATTAATAGATGCCTTAGCTGTCTATACCAGCCTATGATGTTATTCAATAAAATTTTATTACCTTGCCTCTCTCAAATCATTAGAAAGTGACCAAAGTAAAATGCAATCATCCTCTTAAAAGAGTCTTTCACAAAGATAAATTTTTATTTTGGTTAAGTCCAATTACTAATTTTTAATTAAAAAAATTTTTTTAAATACGTCATGGTTTTGGTGTTATGTCTAAGACTTCTTCATCAAGTCCAAGGTTCTGCAGATTTTCTCGTTTATCCTAAAAGTTTCATTTTATGCTTTATAATTAAATCTATGATCCATTTTGAATTAATTTTTGTATAAGGTGTGAAGTTGAGATCAAAGTTCATTTTTTAACCTATGGTTAAGAGGATGAAAAGATAAGCTACAGACTTGGGAGAAAATATTTGCAAAGCACCTATTTGACAAAGGACTCCTACTAGAATCTATAAAGAGCTTTCAAAACTCAACAGTCAAAACACAAACAGCCCAATTAGGAAGTGGGCAAAAGGATATGAAGAAATACTTCACTAAAATAGTTCTTCATATTCAATAAAATATGGATGGCAAGTAAGTAATGAAAATATTTTTGACACTACTTATCATTACAGAAATGCAAATTAGGACCATGATGAGTTATCACTACACATCTATTTAGAACAGCTAAAATAAAAAATAATGACAATACCAAATGCTAGTGAGGGTGCAGAGAAATTGGATCTCTCATACATTACTGATGGGAATGTAAAATGGTACATCCTCTCTAGAAAAGTGTCAGTTTCTTTAAGAACTAAACATAACAGTTACCATACAACCTAGCAATTACACTCCTGGGCATTAATCTCAGAGATATGAAAAGTTATGTCCACACAAAAACCTGTACATGATTGTTCACTGCAAGTTATAACAGCCAAAAACTGGAAATAACCAAAATGTCTAATAGGTTTATGCTAAAATGTGACATCCATACCATGAATACTACTTAGCAGTAAAAAAGAACAAACTATTGATACACACAACTTGGATGGATCTCAAGGTCAGTATGTTGAATGACAAAAGCCAATCTCAAAAGGTCACATACTGTATGTAACATTATGGAACACGACCAAACTACAGAGATGGAAATTAGTGGTCACCAGGGGTTGGTGGGCAGGGGGTAGGTAGGTTTGACTACAAAGAGGTAGCATAAGGGAGATTTTTGTGGTGATAGACTAATTCTGTATCTTGACTGTGGTGACAGCTATACTATACACATGTGACAAAATGATACAAAACTATACATATACTTATACCAGTATCAACTTCCTGGTTTTGATATTGTACTATAGTTATATAAAATGTAACCAACGGGGGAAACTGGGCCAAGCGTACACAGAGATCTTTCTGTATTATCTTTGCAACCTCCCATGAATCTATAATTACTTCAGAATAAAAAGTTTTAAACAATCCAATCAATGTAAAATCATCCAAGAGTTTGGGAAACATGGGAGAATTTATAAATTTGTTGAAAAGGGTAATGCAGGGGCGCCTGGGTGGCTCAGTCGTTAAGCATCTGCCTTTGGCTCAGGTCATGATCCCAGGGTCCTGGGATCGAGCCCCACATTGGGCTCCCTGCTCCGTGGGAAGCCTGCTTCTCTCTCTCCCACTCCCTCTGCTTGTGTTCCCTCTTTTGCTGTGTCTCTCTCTGTCAAATAAATAAAATCTTAAAAAAAAAAAGAAAAGGGTAATGCAAACCAAAGATGGATAGGGATGATCATGGTGCAGCCTAGAAAGATAGCTGGAGAGTTTGTTCAACTCCCCAAAATAGATAGTTCAACCATTTACTGAATACCTTGTATATGTAAGACATAGTACTAAAAATAGCAGTGGGGGTTAAGAAAAAGGTCAAGCACTTACCTCTGAATTAATTTACTAAGAAGATAGAACAATTGTTAAAGGCCTCAGGGCCTCTGCAAAAGCAGTTTCCTTTGCCTGGAACACTCTTCTGTTTTTCTAGTTAGTTCTTAACCATCCTTGAACTCTCAGTTCATTGTCGCTTCTTCAGGGAAATCCTCCCTAGCTCTCCTCATTGCCCTCTCCATTAGACCAGGTTCCCCTACTACATGCTCATACAGCACCCTATATTTTTAATTCATAACACTAATCACCATTCACAAAGAATTGTGTAATGATTTGAGATCTATTTTCCCCATTAGGCTAAAATTTCCAAAGGGCAAAAACAGGTCTATGCCACTCACCACTGTATTCCCAAGCCCAATGCCATGCCTGGCAAATGACAGAAGTTCAAAATATATTACATGAATGAATCCATACAAAGCTATAATTCATATGTACAAATGAGCAGGCAGACAGTAAGAGTTACTGGATGGAAGAACCCAAGATCACTTCAATTTGAGAAAGCCAGTTTATATGGGATAGAAGGTTCATGCAGAGGATAAAGAATCTTATATCCGAAGTTGAACATGATTATCAACCTTTCAGCAATAGGAACCCACTGAAGAATTGAAACAGGAACGAAATGTGTCCAATGTCTTCTATAGGAAAATTACTGTGGAGAATGGACTGGAACTGAGAGGGTAAGATATAAGGAGTGGTAAAAATAATTCTGAGGACACTGTGGTAATGCAGGCACAAAATGATATGAAAGGGTGGCCATGGGAACAGCCACATGTGTGAAATACTAAGAACCAACAGAACTTAAGGACTGATTAGATATAGGGGCACAAAAAGGGTAAGGGCCAAAGATGATCCAAGAGGTTTAACAGAGAGTGATCAATGAAAGCCAGTACCAATAACAGAAATGGAAAGTCATAATTAAGTCCTTAGGAGAAGGGAATGTGCTTTGTTAGAAGTCTCAGGTAACATCCACACAATTGAAGATACGAGACTATGTGGAAAAAAAGTCAAGGCTGGCAATGTAATATGTGAGTGGATCACAGTTAAGGTTTAAGAGTGAATGAGATCTCTCATAGGGGAGAAGGTATAAAGGGCCTTGAATGAAACCCTTAAAGCCATATGATTTGCCCCTTGCTTGAATTATGTTTATCATGTCGTGGACTCATTCAGACTGTGACTTCCCTGAGGGCACATCTGATCTCATCCTTGCATTCCCTAAAAGTATACATTAAAGAGTGTTTTACATAACTGGTGCACAGTAAGCAGCCTATTAAAGGAATCAGTTATATTCAAGGTAATTTCTGATTAATATTTCCTGTTCCATCTGCACTCTGTATTTCAAAAGGTGGTGCCACAGTGGCGTCTGATTTCCCAAGGCTCTATAACTGATGAATTGACAGACAAGACTTTGGGACTGTGAAAAATACATAACCCCCAATGAGATTAGAACTAAAGGAAATCCCAACTAGAAGTAGGGAATACTCTTCAAGAAGTTTCTGCATAAAATTAAACAGGAAATATTATTTACTGAGGGAGAGAAACAAATGAAAATTTTCAATTGTATGCATGATACAAGTTGACAATGTACAAAAAGTAAAGAAGCTTCGGCTGAAATGAAGGATAAACAAGATAATTAAAGGGACTTGAGGACAGTTGAGAGGGATTTTTTTTTAAAAAAACATATTGAGGGAAAAGTCATTCACCTGCTTGCCCACAAAATATTCCTGGGTATTACAGAAGTAGAATAAAAGGCTAACCTGATTCAATACTTAGATGAACAGTGTTTCCCCAAGCTGTATAAAATAAGGAAAAAGACTGCTAAAATCGATCAGGAGACAAATTGGATGACGGCCCCCGCCCCCCAAATTAAATTATCTAGGCTACAGTATTCCACAGTGTTCTAACCCTGAATCATAGCAAATGTCCTAAGTGCTTCCAGATAGGTGAGTGTCTCTGTGGGAGAAGTCAGGGAAGAGAAAAGAAACTCGCTGGAATCACAGATTCTAGGACCCTGACAAGTCAGGTAATCTGTAATCCAACCACCCTCTCAGTATCAGACAGCTTCCACAAGTTTAAAAGATGGCCAACCAGTCTTTGCCTATTTCCAACAACAGTAAATGGACCACTGGTAAAGTGACTATTCTCTCGTTGGACAGCTCTAAATTGTTGTAAAACCCTTTGAAGTTTTCCCTCAGTAACTTTCACTCCGGGTCCTGGTTCTCAAGAGCAATGCAGTGAAAAGTGAAAGCTGTATTTTGGATTTTTTTTTTTAACTTGAAAAAACCCCCAAATAACTAGATATTACTTCCTGGCGGGTCAATACATTCCCTTCTTTCAATAATAGGAAAATTGACTTTCCCCCCCCAGCGTTTGACTCCCCTTAAAAAAAAAAAAAAAAAAAAAAAGTAATGCCAGGCACAGGTTCCTTTAGACTCCGAGCTGCGACCTCCAAAGCAGAGCGAAGAAAAGGGGCTTAAGTAACTACATACACTAAGATATGATGCAGCTGACATGAAATCCCCGTTGCCAAGAAGCAAGCAGTTCCAGCCCGTGTCGGGACGCGACAGAAGCCACAGACCTGGTCCGGCCTCTCTCAGGCTGTAGGGGCCCAAAGTGCCTGCACCTCTCCTTGCCAACGCCGCGGGGGGCTCAATGGGCGCTCTTTCCCAGGCCAGCGGCAAGCCCGGCGCCTCACAGGGCAGAGCGCTCGGCCGGGAGAAGCAGCAACGCTGAGAGGAAGGTTCAGTGAAGCACCTGGCAAAGCCCAAGCCGAGCCACCGGGCCAGCTGCCCGTACGCCCAACCACCGTGTCCGCCAGAGGCCACCCGAGAAACGGTACCGGTGGAAGCTCCTGGAGTTGGAGACGTTTCTGGCTCGGTCGGGGTCCCGTCTATTCCTCCCGCCTACCCTCTCTCTCCATGGCCCAAAGCTGAGCCGGAAGCCACCCCAAGGGGTGGTGTGCAGGAGGCACTCCACGTTTGGGGCGAATGCTGCGGGCCGGCCCGAGCTCTCGAGCTAGCGGGCAGCTGCGGCGGTCACTCACCGAGAGGACGCTCATGCGGATTGGGGTCTCCAACAGGCACGCCATCTTGAGCCTTCCCACCGGGCTACGGCCGGTGCCGGCGCGGGGGCCGGCACTTTCGACAAGGAACTATCGGGCCAACGAAAGGCACCTTCTGCAGAAAATCAGGCAGGTAGACGAAAACACACCACGCTCTAGGCACAGCGAAGTACGGCCAGGGCCCGCAGAAGGGAGAGGAAAGGAAAACCGCGCCAAGGGCCTCCTCACGAATCGTCCTCTCAGAAACGGCAGCTACTCTCAGCCTGGGTTAGAGCTGGGAGCGGGCAGCAGTTTCCGCATGCGCAAAGAAGATCTGCCAGCCCCACCTGCCGCTCGCGGTGGGCGGAGCCACAGGGGCGGGGTCTCGCTCTGGCGCTGCAAACTCGTTACAATGCGGGAGCTCACGTACTCGTATTATGAAAAGCTAGTATGTGGAGTCACATACGTAATTTGAAGTTCACATTCATATTCATTATCTCACTCTTTTGCACCAGACTCCTAGCGTTGTTATTATCGCCATTTTGCAGATGGAGGGACTGTGGTCTCGGAACCAGGTCTTCAGCATAATCTGCCCGACCCATTTATTCTGGCGTAGTGTTAAGAATAGATACTCTAGAACAAGAACGCCTGGGCTTAATCTTTACTACTTCACTTATTAGCTGCATTACCTCCAGCAAGTTACTTAACCTCCTTGTGCTTCAGCTTTCTCTTCTATAAAATAAGGGTTATGAAAACGGAGAACTAAAGCTCTTTAGAACATGCCTGGAATGTAGAAAGCGTTATATATGTATTAGTATATCCCCAGCCTCAGTCAAATTAAAAAAAAAAGGTGGGGGGCAAATATCTGAAGAATTAACACTAAAGTGCTCTGGTAACTGAAGCCAAATAAAAACATGCTTCTAATTATATTTTCTGATTGATTAATCCAGCTTTCCCACTCCGTGTATGCGTGCGTGTACCAAACTGTCCTGCACTTGACTTGACAGGTTTCACCTGCGTCCTGCCTGTAACCAGTAAGTTTTCATAGAATGGTTGCAATGAGCCTGTTTCATTACTTGTTGTTGTTGTTTCCCATTTTTCTAGCCACTCCTTAATTCAAGCTGTTACTACCTCTCCCATGGACTAGAGCAATAGCCTTCCAACTGATCTTGTAGCCTCTACACTTTGCTCCTCACTGCTTTCCTATCTTCTTCCTGTTTAGGTATCCCCCTCTTTTAGAAAGTTCCCCTTAAGGCACTTTGCTTTTAGAAAAGCCCTCTACATTAAAACCCGTTTTTGCTAACAAAAGAAATCCAAGAGAATTTTTGCTTTTATGAAAAAAGGTAGTAAATGAAAATAGCAGTTAGAGTTTGTTTTGCAGTGAGCCTTTATAAAGGCAGCTCTCAACCCCAGGCAGCAGGGGAGAGTGACATCCCCAAGCTCCTTCCCCGGGAACTACATTCAGCATCTCAGTATCAAGCCACCCATAGCTTTGAACTTGTCTGTGAACACCTGTGCTTTATCTCCATTTATTTTGTGCATCTCTTAGCAAGATATGTCCTAAGGTATCAGAAATGCCTAAAAGGTTATTTTTCAGGTCTGGAAATGCTCAGAAATGTTTCTAAATATTTCCATATAAAGTAATGGTAATTGCTTCTTCACTTTATATCATTTTGGTTTAAAAAGTTTTGATAAGAACTCTCTAATTTTGGATAGTGGGGGAAACCTGTACTTGGTTTACAAATTTATTGTAGCCCTAATTATCCTTGCTTACGGCTCTGTGTTCCCAAACAACTGCTGAGTTTCTGGAAAGCAGGAATTTCATTTTAGATTTTTCCTTGTGCAGTATTTCCCAAACTTCAGTAATCTGCATACCACCCATGCAATCTTTGTCAGTCTAAACAGGTGTTATTATTCACTCAATATTTTTCTTTAAGGTCAATTTCAATTCATTAAATAGTTTTCTCTTCATCCTAAATGATAATAGTCTATAAAATCAAGTTTTTTGTGCTCCTTATTTTTATTCTAGTACATATTAACATAATAACTACAAAAAAGTTTAAATGTCCATTTGTCAGCTAAAATCATGCCATATACTGCATACCATAAAGAGCAGAGCATAACCTTTGGAACAGAGGATACAAAAGTATCAATTGAATTTTCAGCTGACATTTGTACAATACAGAGTTGTGATAGCTGTGTTTATCCATGCTTCATCCATTAGCTCAAGCAATACATCCTCCAGGAAGCCCCTTCCCCAAGTATAAGTTAAATGACCCCTCCCCGTGTTTTAATGCATTTTTAATGTTCTTGCCACTAACACAGCTTCTCCAACAATATATTGTAAATTTTTAAAGATTTTATCTATTCATTTGAGAGAGAGAACGAGAGAGCACAAGCAGGCAGAGTGGCAGACGGAGAGAGAGAAGCAGGCTCCCCACCCAGCAGAGATCCTGATGTGGGGCTGGATCCTAGGACCCTGGGATCATGACCTGAGCTGAAGGCAGACACTTAACCAACTGAGCCCCTCAGCCACCCCATATTGTAATTTTTTTCTAATTGTTTACTTGTTTGTCTCCCCATTATACTCTTCAGGACAAGTACTAGGAATTTTATCTACTAGGTCTTTTATCTCACTTCCTAGCATAAAATAATCATGGTAAATGCTTATTGAATGAATTTTTTACTTAGTGGTCACCCCCACAGGCAGATCCTGGAACAGTGATTTGGGTGCAGGTAGTTTACTTGGGAAGTGTTTCCAGAGACCAGAATTGATGGGTCAGGGAGAGTAAAAAAAAAAAAAAAAAAAAGGAAAAGTCAATATAAGGCTCCATTATTGAAATCACTGCTTTCTCCTTGAGGACCTCTGAAAAATGTACAGAATGCTCCCCTGGATATCCCTCTTGCAGCTGGAGCATTTATCCACCCTCCCATCTGGTATTGGTTGAGGGTTTCCCCAGGGCTGGTAACTGTCCTGGATTGTACTTCTGCACAGAAGAGAGAGGGCTTCCTTAACCTGGTATAGAAAAGCAGAATCTGTAGGCTTGCTTTTGGGGTGCAATATAGACGGCATGAATCTGAGCTTGCAGCAGAACCATCATTAGAGTTGTGGCTGAAATCAGAGTGGACAGGAGCTAGAGAATGTAACTAGAGCATCCAACACCTCTGCTACTCAGGCTTTCCTATTTTATTTCCAGAAGACTGACATAGCCATTTTATGGAAAGGAAGCATTGATTAGCAAACTTCTAAGTTTGGGGATCAGGAATCTCATTCCTAGTTCAAATTTTGCTGCTAAAAAACCTTAGGTATACTCTTCAAAGGCAATTAATGAGTAGAAATTGAGGAGTAATAAGATTTTGATTCAGCTTTCATGTAACAGCAACAACAGAACAGGTAACCTTGGCACAGTGGTGGGAAGAGGGAACTATCCACACTGACTTCCCTACAAACAGGAATGAAATTTCCCCCCATCCTCCCATGGCTCTTATTGCAGAGCAGTATTAATTTCTTTTCTTTCTTTGAAGATTTTATTTATTTATTTGATAAAGAGATGGAGAGAGCAGGAGTGGGGACAGGCAAAGGGAGAAGCAGGCTTCCCGCGGAGCAGGGAGCCCAATGTGGGGCTTGATCCCAGGACCCTGGGATCATGACCTGAGCCCAAGGCAGACACTTAACCGACTGAACCACCAAGGCGCCCCAAGCAGTATTAATTTCTGAAAAAATAATGATAACAAGGTGTGAATTTAATAAGGCAAAACAGTAATGCAAAGTAAAAAGTAAGTAGCAGAAAGAAATTTGAAAAGTATTTATAAATGTCTAAGTGCAATTACCAGGATAGAGAAAACCGAATTTTTGAAAGTACAAACATACCTATGCAAAAAGAGGAAAGCATAAAGTATAGAAAGATAGATGTAAACCAAAAACTGAATGGCCTCAAAAGGACTTTGGAAGAAACTTTAGCAAGATTTGACAACAGAGGAGTCTTTAGAACAAAAAGAGAAAATGCAGGGGCGCCTGGGTGGCTCAGTCGTTAAGCGTCTGCCTTCGGCTCAGGTCATAATCCCAGGGTCCTGGGATCGAGCCCCGCATCGGGCTCCCTGCTTGGCGGGAAGCCTGCTTCTCCCTCTCCCACTCCCCCTGCTTGTGTTCCCTCTCTCGCTGTGTCTCTCTCTGTCAAATAAATAAAATCTTAAAAAAAAAATAAAAATAAAAGAGAGAAAATGCAGTAATGGTGGTACAGAAGAGATATAGTTCAGTTTAACAGTCACTAACTGTGGGTTTACTTGTGCACATATTGTACTAGGGATTCAAAGTAGTATAAAGACATGGTTCCCAACTTCAAGCAGGCAGGAATAAAAGTGACACTCTGAGAGGTTCAATAATTTGTTTAAGGTTGCTTAGGGGATGAATAAGAGGCTGAATCAATTTGGGCACAGGCTTCTCTATTTCAAAATCCTTACCAGAGCCCTCACAGTCTCTTGGGACCTGACAGGCCTATCCTACATGGGACAACTAAGTACTCACCTAAGCAACCAGCTAATTAAGCAAAATCTACAAGGGCTTTGCAATGGGAAATAATGCATCAGTAATTCAGCAGGTGTTTGGAGGGTATAAAATATGCATGTGCATAAAGCAGAATTAGTAAGGTGTTGAAAAAGTCTTTTATTAGAAATTACAGTAAAAAATGTTCTTTTTATAACCAAATTATGGTAGAATTCCAACTTACAAATATAAAAGAAATGATGGAATTTGAAAGCCACCACATGACAACCACGTGAGCTATAAATGTTTGAAGCAAGAATCATCAATGGATGCTTACACTAATTGGTGAAAATATAATGAAAAACAGGATATTTATCCAGTCTCAAAGCATCTTCCCACAAGTGACTAATGATGGTAGAGAAACTTGGTAGACACCAGTTATTCAAGCGATTGCAATTAATATCACCACTATTGGGATAAATAGACACTATGATAGGATGTACTGATAAGGATACAACATCACTTCCATGGTATTCCTGCCAAAAATGCACAAGTGTAATCATGAGGAAACATCAGACAAACCCTAACTGAGGGACATTCTACAAAACAACACACCCACATCCTTTAAAATTGTCATGAAAGACAAAGAAAAGCTGAAAAATTATTCTAGATTAAAGGAGACTAAAGTGACATGACAAATGTAACTTGTGATCTGGGATTGAATCCTGGACAAGGAAAAAAGCATTTCCCCCCTCTTGCTACAAAGGTTATCAATGGGAAAGTTGGCAAAATCTGAACAAAATCTGTAGATGATTGCTA